TTTTTTAGATAAAATTTATGATTTGTGATTTAATTAGATGTTCACATGAGCTTTTTGATCTATACTTTGATTTTTTTATAAAAAAAAATAACCTATTTACCTGGAGTTTTTTTAGATAAAATTTATGATTTGTGATATTGTGAAGGTCAAATAGCTAGTTAAATATAGGGGGATAACTTTATTGTTTCATAAGTATTCATTATTCCACAATTCATCCACTTAAATTAAACTACTTATATTAATCAATCAATCATGACATTAAAACTTATATAATTGGGGATTATATCAATTAGTATATTTAACTTAATTTAAATGAATAAAATAAAGAGTTTTAAAAAATAAAAATTTCAATAAATATTGAATACTCGGACCAATAATAAATAATTCATTGATAATATTAGAATTCTTATAACTTGGAAAAATATTCTCCTTCTCCATATATAATTATTTCATAAAGAAGAAATTAAACTAGCATTTAGTTATTTTTTAAAATTTACTTTAAAATTTTAAAAATTATAATTTATATTTTAAGTTAATGTAATATTTAAATTTGCATAAAAAAATTTACCTTCATATATATCACATAACATAAACAACCTAAATGACATAATTTTTCATTCTCTTTTCTCTCTCCATGACTTCATCTCTCCCTCTCCACTAACAAAAAAAAAAGTGATTTAAATCATCTAATAAGTAGTTCAATGGTAAGAGCTTTGTACCAAGAAGTTTTCTCCCCTTGTGGTTTCAGATTTTGAGTCCTATAATTCTTAATATTAATGGTCACTAGAAGCTTACCTAATTATTATTAATTTTAGAATCCATATAGATTAGTCAAAATGCGTGTAAACTGATCTAAACACTCACAGAAATTAAAAAAAAATATTGATCTATCAAAAGCAAGTCATTTTTGGTGAACAACAAGATATTACCAGGGAAAAGAGAATATTTTTTTTTTTAACACCAATGCCTATCGAGTTTCAAGAGTAATTATGAAAAGATGAAGACCCACCAAGTTGCTAAATTTGAAAAGAGAGCTTGATTACAAAGAAAAGAAAATAATTTTGTTTTACAAACCCCAAAAAATAACTCAACAATTGTTGATTCTTCTAATTTATTAGCAAAACAGGTTAAGAAGGAGTGAAAGCTGAGGATCGATGAAGAGAAATGACAAAAACCTCCCAAATAATCTGGATTGATGATGATTAAGAGCAAAAGAAACTAAAACAAGAAACCGATGAAGTTGTGAGTCTATGAAGGAATTTATAGCTGATTTTATCGATTATTTGAAGAATTGTAATGAAAGAAGGTTGAATTAGCTTATGATTATTTGAATTCAAGAGAGAAAGAAGGAGGAAACGATGTTGTTAAAGATTATGAAACGATGAAAGTATCACGAGTTATGGGTTTTATTAATAATTAGGTATAGTTTTCATTTTCATTTTTATTAATATAGGTATTTGGATTCACTTATATATATATATATATATATATATATGTGTGAACTAATTTCACGAATTCTAAAATTAATAATCTTATAATTTTTTAATAATTCTGAGGTTTGTATAACTTAAACAATCAATTTTAATCATTATATATATAAAAATAAAAGCCGATAAGAGAAGTTATTAAGATATTTTTGGATTATAAGTGTTGAGTAATTTTGTCATATCTAACCTTGAGTGGTGGCTAGCCATTTCTTGCTGGAGGTGAAACCTGGTGGCTATCAAAACAAATGCTATTATAGTAGTTGATACTGATAGCATGGTTGTGGTTGTCTAGACTAGCCAATAGTGGGTGGTGGCGTGGTTATGGTTGTTTGGAGTGGTCAACAATGGGTGACTGTTGTTTTGTAGGTTGCATTTTTGTTGTTAGCTAGTTTTGTTTTTTATTTGATAGTAAAGTTATAATATTTAACATATTACAGCTTTTTAATCATTAACTTAAATATAGTGTTAGTTCTATAAATAATTTGATTTTTTTTTGCACGCATTATTAGGGATATAAATTATTATTAATCTATAAACTAAATGGCATAAACTATAATTTTTAAAACAATGGAATAAAAAAAAATAACAAAACTATCATACTGTTTGTGTAATTTTCATGTTGGGAGACTGACACGACTAAAAGATTGATGGAAATCAAAAAAAATATAACAAAACTATCATACTGTTTGTATAATTTTTATGTCGGGAGACCCTAAAGATAAAGGGTGTTAAGTCCGGGAGTAGGGATGAAAACCCTAGAGATAAGGGGTGTTAAGTCCGGGAGTAGGGATGAAAACTTCACTTGAATGTTCTTAAAGTTTGAAAAAACTATATCATAACATTTAATATATATATATATATATATATATATATATATATATATAGAGAGAGAGAGAGAGAGTTTAAGGATTAGTCTTTCTCCATCTTCACTCTCAAGCCATCTCTCACTCGTATCATTTCTTGTTTTTCTCTCTCTGTTTTTTTCTCTTTATTATGTTGCCTTTTCTTTTAATTTTTAATGTTAAATTGCCTCTTCTACTTTGTCATTTTCATCATCTTCTTCTATTCTACTTTTCTCCTCCATCCATCCCTTTAATTATTATTGTTTCTTCATCTTATTATTGGTGTTTTTTCTTTAATTATGAGTGATTGTTATGCATGAGTGATTTAGCTTTATTAATAATTATTTACCAATATGATACGTCAAACTCCTCTAAAAAATTCAGGCTAGTTTTTATGTGCATTTATCATTCTTGCTTATTTTTTTCTTGAATATGTTTGAGTTTATTGGATTTTAATGAGTGATGAATGGGTGCTATCTAGCGATTTTTTTAAAGGATTTTAATTTTAGTTTGATTTCATGAATAAAAGCTTAACTTGATTGATAATATATAGTATTACGAGCATGACTTAGGATTAATTTTTTATGAACTAATCAATTTCATATTTTTCCTTACTAGGTCACATACATATTGATTTCTTGATTTCTAGTATAAATTTAAAGGCATTGTGGTTTTCATATTGGGTTTCAAAGACTAAATAGTTAAATATACAATGATTTTGTAAAGACTTTGTGTAAGTCCATAAAAAATCTTTATTGGCTTAAACAAATCTCTAGCAATGAAAAATGAGAGACATAGTAGAATTTGTAGGGGTGATATAAATAAGAGTGACACTAAAAATAAACATTTTTTAGACCAAGAGTAATTGGGCCAAATTGCAAGACTTTTAATATTTAGGAACTAAATTCAAACACTCGAGTAACATAAGAGATCAAGTTACATAAGGACAAGGCAAATTTCTTATAAGCATGCATGGCAACAACTGTTTAGATTAGCTAGTTAACATCAGCATAAAACGGGAAATGGAAAGACTTTAATTGGGCATCAATTCAATTAAAACATTCTTTACCTAGGAGTTTAATCTAGCTTGGTCTTTGGCTTGATTTCGATGCACACTTTCTGTCTGTAATTTATCGTTGAAGTTTTTTATCTTTATACTTTATATTTCTTACAATTAATTTATTTATCACTTGTTCTCTACTTTCTTGTAATTTATTTATAGTTTTTCTATTTTGATTGAAGCCTTTTGATTCGCGTAGAACCCTAGCATCTAATTTCACCTTCTTTGATCTTATTCTTACTTTGAAACTTGGTTTGGAGGTAGTTGTCGTGTCCTCACAAGTTCAATCCCTTAAAAAATTAATTGGTGATGTATTAATGGATGAAACAAGTAGGTTAAACTCCTGGCCGGGAGCACGATATAAATAGAGAGGTTGTTCAAAATTTAATTTTTTTTAAAGATTTTATATATTTTTTTTAAAAAAATTATTTTAATTGGTTGTTATTAATATTTTATATATTTTTTTTAAAAAAAATTATTTTAATTGGTTGTTATTAAAAATATATTATTTTAATATATTATAATTACTAACGCATTCTTAAACACCTGATAAAGTGATGTTTATGGATTACTCTATAAATCACTTCTCATCTAGACTATATTTGGTCTCATCTACGAATTTCTTTTTCAATTATACGATCCTTGGCTGTGTCTCCATACCCTTCAAGCCCTAGGAGGCATGCCGACAAATCCTAATCACGGTTATTGGCCAATTATGTGACCAAGCTTTTCGACCACAACAACGTTGGTCAGAACAAAATATCTCCATTCCACCTAATTATCGATAAATGAAGTCTTCAACAATCCCTGGTCAATCACCAATCTTTTCAACATGGCAACATTCATCTATCTGATTCAGATTGGAAAATATTTAGATACATGGCTTCACCAGAGGTTCGAGCTAGTGCCAATTGACTCTTGCAAGAGAGAATCACTAATCTTCAAGCTCCAAATAGGAAGATTGCTGCATACATCTCTATTTGGTACAACTCCAAGACAAGCTCAAGTGGGCATCTTAATTTACTTACGTCTATTCACCTTTTTTGAAATCTTTTAGAAGTAAATAATCAAGGCCAAAAATCAACATGTCCGAGACTGGCTTAATCAGCAAAGAGATAGACCATGTCCAAGACTAGCATTGAGCTAGGAATTTTGGCTAATGGTCGAAAGTTCTTGTGTTTCAATAATCTGACATGATCGATTGAGGGAGAGGTTTGTGACCTTGAGATAAAGGAAAATTTTACACTTGGTCCTGAAAATGACAACCAGTAAAGGTAAGAGCAATTAGAATTGGATACAATTTATGCGAACAACATATATATGTATATACGTGCAAATTCCATTACATGTACGCAAAATTGGAGTGAAGAGCCTAGCCAGCTTTCAGATAGACGTATAACCTCTCTATCACCACCTAAAGTCAGCAATGGAAATGCCCGGGCTAATTCCTATCCTAATAAGGCTTACCAAAGAAAACAAAACGGAAGTAAATTCTTAAATAAACATTCCATGCAATTTCTGAGTCATGCTAGCTAACTATACTGATTGATTTAGAACATGGCCAACCTCAAGACAACAGACTAGCGATTATATATATATATATATATATATATATATATATATATATAAACCGCCCTCTTTCTTTCTTTCTTTTTGAATTTTGTAGACAGTTAAGAGAGAGGAGCCCTATGAGGAGATCCCTTTCTCCTGCTGCTCAAAGAGAAGAAATTCCCCGGAAGAAAGCCACTTTTTTTCTCCTCCTTTCCTAGGACCTCCGGTTCATTGGAGCATGACGAGCCTCTGTGTTGTGATGGGTTCTCAAAAATGGAGCTCGGGGTAATTTGACCATCATCATCAATAATTTCAGAGCCGTCCATCCTCAATCCCTCAAATTGGGAAAACGCAAAATCAGATTCATCAATCCTGTAAAGAATAGCCGAGAGATCATCCCCTTGATCCACCAAGTGATTAACCTGCATTAAGTGTACATTTCTAAATCAATGAGCATGAAGGCCAAAAGAGGAAAGGAAAAAAAAATAGAGCCCCAAAAATGGAACGTGACAGAAAAATGGAGACTTCATAAGAAAACAATTTGTAATCTGAAAGCGAAAAAATCTCTAGAATTTCAAGCAAATTTTACTTCTACTGGAGACAACTGTAACCCACAAACCTAACAGGTAAGCTAAAAACACATCCACTCGGGAAAGAGTTTGGATAACGTCACACACAACGATTCCCTTTTTGGCAATCGTACTGCAACCGAATCAATAAGGTTATGGTCTACAGAGAGTGTGTGTGTGTGCATATTTAAAAACTTCTGAAAACCCATATTAATAAAATTAAAATGACTAATCAAATAGACCTTGCACGAGAGAGAGCAGAAATGGAATGGATCTTGGAGTATCCTGTCGCAAGTGAAGCAATTGTTGGATGAGCCCTTACAGGATCTTGACTGTGGTCTCTGATTCAAGAATATCACTTTGGCACTGTTTATTGTATAGGGCTGTCGAACGAATAACAGCAGCTGATATCATTATCTCATCTTCTTTTTTATTTTCACATAAAGATCACTCGATTGTTTCGAAAATAATTACCTGAATATAAGAACAGTCAATGAGCTTCTCAAGATCCCCCAATCGAACAACATCATGGTAAACATATCTTCTCACCTGGTACATGCATGATATCCCAGTAAAGCTTCTCAGTAAAAAGATATTATGTACTAAAATGGCCATACAATTGAGCACATCATATGGAATTCTCCCTATGGAGTCAAAAATCATTAACAAGAGAGTATATGAATTATAATCAATGAAGTACAAACCAATGTCGTGAAGGCAATGGACATGTGAACTTACAGCATCTTGGGGTACAGAACTGTAATTATAGCCTGAAAGTGATGTAGACTTTTACCCCACCAACTTAAATTCTAGGTGAAAAGGTTAGGCAACCAGCCTCTCTCATCACAAGGAAAAAAACGAATGGCAAATGAGTTGAGCAGAGAATAAATTATGAACCTGAAGCTTTTATACTTGTATATATTGTACAAGAAAATGAACAGTAAAAAACACGGTCAAACTTTCGCTTTCTTGAAAGCAACAGGTGAGGAACCTTGGCAGAGGAAATGGATAGAAAAGAAATCTCCCACATAAGGGAAACAAACCGAACCAAAAGGTGGGAATCAAGGGAGACAAGATAACCCATTTATGGACACCATATACACTACAATAAAGAAGTTAAAATTTCATGATAGAATTAATCTTGAGAAAATCTTGGTAGAAAGAAAATATGTATATGTGAATCTTGGATTCTCATAGATGGACATTGAAGGAATTATATAAAAGAAAGAAGAAAAACCAGAACATATGTTCGATTTGCTCAATGTAAAGAAAGGAAATTGACCTTGAATTGTTAGCTTGTTTTTATTCTCAGACTTTAAGAGTGCTTGATTTCACAGATTTTTATATGTATTTATATAGGGACAGAGAGTAATTAGAGATGAACCACATACATGGGGATAAGAAACTATTAAATGATGAGATTTGGGAAACAGAAAGACACATGCCGATATATAATATTCAGAAGCCAAAAAAATATAAATCCATGACGTTCTTTGAAAAAGACTTCTGCATCAAAAAATCCAGAGAATTATAGAAAACTTCCTCCAAATATTTTAGCAGGCAAAGAAACATCCACAATTGTGCAGACTACAAAACTGCAAAACCAGAGTTCATGGATGAGACAGAAGAAATATGGCACCTAAACAGAATTTTAAGATTTCTTAATTAATTTCAAAGAACTATCAAGAACTCATCAAATAATTCAAGGTGACAAGTGAAGAAAACCTCTGTAAAAGGAGCAAAAAAATAAAGTTCGAAAAAGAGTTTAAAATTGAAAATTGAATGTGAATCACACGGGGTGTAATTGACTGTGAAAGGAAATTATGAACTCAAAGAAAATTCCCCTTGCACATGAAGAACTTCAGGACAAAAAGAAAAAAGGAGAGAAAAATAATGAATACCCATCACCCACCAAGGAATCAAGGATTTTTCTATCTGAAAAAGAAATCAAAGCCTTTAAAAAGATCAGATTTTGAGAAAACGGTACAGTTATTTATGGGTGTGAAGGGGCATGCATATGCACAAGGAATTCTGATAGCCAGCTATGTAGAAATGAACGGTGTACCTGGAGGAGGGGATGAGAGCGATGAGAGGGAAGGCAGTGAGGGCAGATACTAAGGCAACAGAGCAAGCAAAAGACGTTCTTCTCATTCTTTCTGCGATTCTCGTGGACCCCACAACCTCCAAAGAATGTCTCTGCCATCAATCCTTCTAGCCATGCAGGCTTACTCTTACTGCTCATCATCATCATCATTTCATCATCATCATCACCACCTCCAACTCCATTTCTGCTCCTTGATGATGTATTATTATGATTACGATTATTATAATTGTACCTTCTCTCTCTCACCATCTCTCGCTCTACTTTTTTGGAACTTGTAGTTCAATATGGACGCCGACGATCTTGATAAAAACAAAAAACAAAAACAAAACAAAAAAAACAGAGACAGTAGATGAATTTTAATTAAAATTATAAGAGCTCCCTTCAAAATCTTGGAGAAACCCTCCACATAATTCTAATACTCTATCAAATGCAAATGGCCTAGGAGTGTGTATATCTTCTCCTCTATTTAAACTCGGTAGCTTCCAGAATTATTGTCGTTTCTAGCTTGAAGAGAGATAAAAATGAAGGAATCACTAAAGTTAAAAACTTTTCGAGAGGGGATGTGTGGTACTGTACATAGGTGAGAGAGTGTGTGAGGGCGCTTCTGTGTTTCAGGGTGGGTGTTTGGCATATCAGATATTTTTTAAGGTGTATTTTTATTTAAAAATATATTTTGATAATAATTTTTTATTTTTTTAAATACATTAACATAATATTTTTTATTTTTTAAATTTTATTTTTAATATTATCATACTAAAATAATTTAAAATTTAAAAAAAATCAAACTTTTTTAAAACTCATTGATTGAGAGTTAGGGGGAGGATGCGTCCTCTTTGGCCGAGTCACTGTTTAGGATAAAAGTGGTTATAGATAATAAATAAATAAATGATTGTAAATGAAAATTACAGAGGGTAGGAGGAGAGACCAAAAGCCCAGTCACCGTGGGAAGATACTGAGGTTTAATGGCAAAGTAATTACTGAAAAGAAAGAACGAAATTACGAAAATGGGAGGATGGTGAGGTGTGTGTGATGGGGAGTGGTGTAAATTGCGGGAAGACAGCCCACCAATCCGTACCTTGTCTTCTTTTATCCCGCCTAATGCCTATGACACAGCTTTGTATTTGAGCGCTCCTACCTATAACACATGAGCACCCAACCACACCACACCACTTTTACCCAAATGACCCTCTGTGCGCGCCCGCCCTTGTTTCAGAGCTGGTGTCGCAGTGATTTAGTAATTATTTTTTAAAATATTTTTTATTTTAAAATATATTAAAATTCATTTTAAAAAATTCATTTATAACATCATATAAAAATAATAAATAAAATTTATTTAAAGTAAAACATTTCAAATTTACAAATGCCACGCTAGTTAGTAAGTCTTGCTTTAAACTTGTTACTCTCGCAATATTTTAAATTCCAAAACACATGTTTCCTACCAAAAAGTAAACATTATTATTTTTTTCATTTATTTTAGTATTACTAGTTGAAAATTAAATTCACATTTTTTTCTATTCAATTCAGTTTTAAATATTACAATGTAATAAAGATAACGCTAGTACACAAGTGGGCATAGTTATACCTAGAGTGTTTTTATTTTTGTAGTTGGGGTTTGTGTACGGACCACCAAAAAGTTAAAAAAATTAAATTGTAGTGATTGAGTTTTGTGTATAATTAGATTATATCAGATGTTAACTTTAATTATAAAAAAATTTATTATTTATTTTTATAAAAAATAAATCATTATATAATATGATAAGTTCCAAAAACAAAGACCTAAAAGGTACAGTGTTTGGAGAGTTGTATAGTGAAAATACTATAATTTGTAATAGTATTTTTTACCTTTGAATTCTTTCAACATTTATCATTTAACTTTTTTGTTTTATTTTTTCACATTGTATTTAGTAATAATTAAATTTAATAATTTATTTTGATTTATTTTTAACTGAGTTATTTCAGAGTCAAAAAATCATTTTAATATTGGGAGGATGCTCAATTTTGCACAAAAAAAATTTTGTTTATGGAAAATTACAAACTAAGAGACCAAGATTAAAAATAAAGGGAAAACATGGACGTTTTTAACCTAGTATTGTTTGCTGATCGTTTTTTGAAACTACTGCCTTGAGATTTTTTTTTTCATATTCTTTTTTATTCTTTTAGTTTGAAAAATTATATTTTTTATCCAAAACTTCAATTTGTTCACATCTAAGTCCCTTTGTTTGGGAGAGAAGAAAAAAAAACATCAAAAAAAGAAAAAAAAAAAGAGAAAGTCATTGGTTTTTCATTTTCCGAAAAAAACATGTTTTTTGTGCCAATAGATTTAACTGATGAGAGAAGTTTTATTGATATATTTTTTACCCTTCATCTTAAAAAAATGAATCAGGATTGAGAAATATTTTTAAAAAAAATTTATATTTTGGGATCAATTTTATAGTTATTTTAGATTTAGCAATTAATTTATTAACATTTTAAGGTTTTATTTAGGTGTTTTTAAGAGATGATAGGTTAAAAGATAAGCTTTCAAAACTCAAACTTTGTTTTATATATTTTTTAGGTGAACTTAAGAGATGATAGGTTAAATATGGTTGATAATGACAGTTCGTTTGCTCCATCAAGAACTCAGTTTTTTTTCAAATTAATTAATACCCTTTTCTAATATATTTTTCACTTTGTGTTAATTTTTTATATTAAAATAATAACCTCTCTCTGTTTTTAAAATTATTTACTTCACCTTTTAGAAATTTCAATTATTTTTTTATTTTTTTATTTTTATAATTTTTCAAAGAAATTATTATAATTTATCTTTAGTTTTTTCTTCTATAATTGATATAAATAAACTGTATTTGCATGGTATATTTATAAAAAACAAATCATTTATTCTTGGTAAGAAAAAATAACCTCTAAAATTATATATAAAAAAGTATAAATTTAAAGGAAATGTCAACGTTGAATACTTATATATTTATTTGTCTTCTAATTTTATGGAAAACATTCTCTTTTCATTTCAATATTTAGTTAATATTAACAACTTTTTCTAAATAATATCTTTTCAATTCTCAATTAAAAAAAATGATGATACATTAAAACACATCCATAATATTAGAACATTCTTTCACTACTTTCATATTTAATCTGAGATCCTACATGTCCTGTAGCATTAACAGCTTTTTTTTTTATATATATACATGAAATTTTTAATTTGCAATTAATATTTTTTAATGTGAAAAACCACTTTGGCAGCACTTACATATTCTTTTTCTGTGTTAATTTTTTGTTTTTATCCTATCAACAGAAAAACACTCAACTGATTAGTTATATATAGAACAACATTAATAGTGCAATTGTTAAAAGTGTATTTATTATAGTGGTCGCTAATTAATTAATTTCTTACTGAAATTTTCCATTTTAAGCAGCATGAACCCATCCACATTCAAAGTTTAAAAATATAACAAAACTAATTTTGTATGTGTTCATGTATCATTAGTTTATAATGTTGTCAAAAGTATTATATTTATATTTTTCAAAGCTTGGTAGATAGATCTTCACAAGGAAGTTATTGTGTCTATCTATTATTTAAAATGCAAAAAGTTTTAAGATTGTAGTTGATTAGTGTTTGGTGACATAAGTGATAAATATAAAAGATGTAAAAATATATTTTGCCGACGAGATAAAAATAAATATATAAAATAAATTTATTTCTAGTATAATTTTAAAATAAATTTTTATATTTTTAAAATAAAAAATACCAAGAAATATGTTTTCTATATATTTTTCATCTATATCCATTCTTCTATAGACAATAATTAAATGTTTTTTTTTAATCTTTTTTTTTATAACCTGTCTTTTCTTATGATCCCTGACAAGAGGTTAGTTTATGTATGTGCATTTCAAATATAGAATAAATAACTTAATTTAATGAAAATTGGAATAAAGATAATTTCTAGTCGCAAATTGAAAAACTAAAAAAATTTAATATAATTTTATATTAGTTGGCTTTTAAAATTAAATTTTGCAATAATATTTTACAATTTCTAGTTTCTTATGATTAACACAATACTAATAGGTATACCTAGATAAATGTAGCTACACCTATAAAACACTATTTATTATAATTGTGTTTTATGTTTTGTGTTTTTTGCTTTTTTTTTTTTCAATTTAAATCTTCAACAACTCAATCTTTATTTTATTTTTATTTAATATTTTCTCAACTTTATCCTTGTATATTAAGTTTATTTTTGGAATTATATATTTTTTTTCTACTGGGTTATATATTTATCTTATAGATTTAACTTTTTTTCCTTGATTTCTAATTTCAATACTAGATTTGTTGGAAGTCTATATATATATATATTGATTTGGAGTCCATGAATTTATCTTGATTTCATGAATCAAGTCATGAATTTAATAGGATAATCCGACTTAACTTGGATTATTTTTTTCTTTCTAATTGATTTTTTTACAATTTCATCTTTTAATATTGAGTTAGTTGAAAATTTAGCTTTGTGACTTTTTTATTTACTTTTCATGAGATTATACCAATTTTATGACTTAAGATGCAAGTCTAGCATATTGATTTGTTATTTTTTTGGGCCTTTTTTTAATCAGGTTTTGTAATTTTTTATTTGCTTTTCATGAAATTATCAAAACCCTATTTATTTTTTTGGTCATATTTTAATTATTTTTTTTCAATTTCATTCTCTAACAAATCAATCTCTTTTAATTTAGATTGTTTTCAATTTTATTTTTTAATATTAAATTATTTTATAATTGAGCTTTATATATTTTTTTAATTTTCTTACCATGAAATTATCTTGATCTCATAAATCTATTTTTTCTCTCAATTTCAAACTTCAATATTTAATATGTTGGAGATGAAGCTTTGTAATTTTTATATTTATTTTTTTATGAAGTTATGTATATCTCACAATCTAAGTTGTGAGTTTAAAATATTATCTTGAGTTGATTTAAGTTTTATATTTTTTTAATTATTTTTTTTATTTAACAATGTATTGATTATAAATTGAGTTTTATAAGTTTTTTATTTGTTTTTTAGGTGGTTATCTCTATCTTATAATCAAGGCTGTCAATTTGACAGATTAACTTAGGATAATTTAGATATTATTTTATTTTTTTAATTTTCTCTTTCAATATTAGGGTGATTAGAAATTGATTTTTATAATTGATTTTGATTTATTTTCTATAAAGTTATTATTTTTTTATAACTTGAATTGTGAATTTGATAGGTTAACCCAAATTAATTCAATATATTATAATTTTAATATTTAAAATATACATCATTTTATATTTTATACATCATTGTATTAATAAAAAATGTTATATTTTTAATTTGGGATTGAAAAAAAAACACTTCACGAATATTACGTTAAAAAAATTTGAAATGACTGACAGCTACATTGATGAACGATGTAGTTTTGACCTCAATATTAAACGAATCATGAATTTTTAAATAGTGGACATCATACTTTAAATCTATCCTCATCTTCTTCTTCTCGCTGTTTTTGTTTTTTTTTTTTGCTCTTTAAAATGTTGCAGTGTTAACCGTTGTAATTTGTGAAGAACTTTTCAATA